CTTTGCTCCCGGTGCCTCTGGTCTGCTGGGGACCGTCTCCAGCAGACCAGGGACACCGGGAGCAAAGCCTCTAAGGATGCCCCGGAAGCGGGACAGCCCCGGCGCGCCTGGGCTGCCCCGCCGCCGGAGCCCCTCTGCGGAACTCCGCGGAGCTCAGGAGCGCCTGGGCTGCCCCGCCGCCGGCTTCCCCCGAGGCTTTCCAAAGCCGCATACCCGGCGTATAAGACGACCCCCAATTTTGGGGGGATGTTTTTTAACATCAAAAGTCGTCTTATAAGCCGGAAAATACGGTACCAGACATTTTAAGTGTCCGGTATTTTCTGAATATTTTTATCGGACAGGAGACAAATACCGGACTGTCCGGGTCAATACTGGACACCGGACAACCCTACAACACAGTCCTTTTCTCTCCTCCCTTCATCACATACACATGGCGTATGATACTCTCTCTCGCTTGTATCACTTCTGGAATCTGATGGTAAACTCCTTGGGGCAGGGATCAGAAGGGACCGTCAGATCCTCTTGTGCCTGCATCCCTTGCTCCCAGGTACGTACTTGTGCGTCTGGCTGTATGATCGTCGTTTGTTTGAATGGGCACAGCTTAACCAGCAGTCCAAGTAGTTGTGTAGGACCATGCTGTGTGCGATAGGCCACATTTCACCCAGTTACCCTTGTGTTGAGCCCAGTTTTTTTTACTAAAGCATTTTCCAGAGAGGCAGCCAGATTGGGTTTGAAGACATCAGGAGATGGAAAATCTACCACTTCCTTTGGGCGTTTGTTGCAGTGGTTAATTGTCCTCACTGGAGGCAATCCAATGTCAGGGTGATGGTGAACAGGATGTGGGGGGACCTGCTTTGCTCTCCATATGTGGCCTGTGGCAAGTCTCGGTGCCTCTGTTTCTCATCTGTAAATGGGGGTGCTGATGTTTCTCCCCCTCAAGAGACATTGTGAAACACATTGCGATTTACTAATCAAAGAAGATCTCTAAGAGCTAGATAGGTCACACATTTAATAATAAACTATTTCCATTGGAGATGTCTGGCTTAAGCTTTGAGTTGTTGGTTCTTGCTCTGCCTGTCTCAGCTGGATTGAAGAGCTCGCTGGTACTCAGTGTTTTCTTACTAGGGAGATCCCAGTTCACCCCTCAATCTTTCTGAAATGCTAAACAGGGGGAGTGTTTTAACTCTTACTATAGGGCACTTTCTCCAGTCTTGGAATCATTTGTGGGGCTCCTTTCTGCGCCCTCTCCACTTTCCTCCACGTTCTTTTTAAAATGCAGGTGCCAGACCTGGTGGTCACATTCTAGCACCAGCCCTCTGGTGCCATGCAAATGCTCTGTTCCTTCTCGCCACTCCCCATTCCTCCATCCCGAGTTCACAGTGGCCCTTTTGGCCACTGCATCCTACCAGGAGCGCGTATTCCAGCTTGTCCACTCCGATCCCTAAATCCCGTTCTTAACCCCCACATCCTGGGTACCGTGCCTGCATCCCTTGCTCCCAGGTACGTACTTGTGCGTCTGGCTGTATGATCGTCGTTTGTTTGAATGGGCACAGCTTAACCAGCAGTCCAAGTAGTTGTGTAGGACCATGCTGTCCTCCAGCATTTAACATTGCGTCCACCTTTGCAGGTGCAAATGCTGCCTGGCCTCGCTCTCCTTTGGATGCCTTATGTACGTTGCAGCAGCTCTGGATTCGGAATGGCAGCTATTTCCTGATTTGGTCCTTTTTATTCTAGCGAGTGGGAAGTTCCTGGCTTGACCTAGGCGACCCCCGGAGAAAGCTCAGTCATTTCCTGCTTGATTTCTATGGAATCGCCCCGATAGCGGAGCACTTAAGAAATACAAAGTGCTCTAGCCTTTCCCTGCACTGCTCTAGCCTGTCCCTGCACTGCTTGGTTGACGACACTTCATCTTTATTTGGCAGTTTGTATATTAAATAATTGATGCCTTAAAGAAAGGCAAGCCGGTTCTGGTCCGCGGCTTGCCTTGATCTGGCCTGCGAGACTTGGGGTTCGCCCTTCTCACCCAGTGGGACAAACCCCTGCTAGCATGTCAGCCACAAGGGGGCACTGTGGTTGGATTGCCAACGCCAGCTCCTGCGTTGAAGGGGAGAGCCCCAGTCTCTCCTTGATCAAGACAAGCCAGGACCGGATTCGGCCCAGAGGCTCTGCCTGGCAGGGAGAAGGAATTGGCTCTGTTGATATTGTCTGGAGAAAGCAGCAGTCGTTGATCTCAGTGGATTCCTCTGGAGACATCCTGCTTAAGTAGCATCTAGCTCCATCTCCAGTGTATTCTGGTTAGCCTCAGGGTGCTCCCTCTGGGGCTGTTTGTGAGAAGATCTACAGGTGCTATGGAGCCGTAAGGATTCTGGGCAAAAACCCATTTGCTAGCCAACCCTTCTTGAATGGTTTGTCCACCAGGCTGTCCTAGCCAAGCCGCCTCCCACCCACAGTGCTACTGGTAGGATGCTAGAGGCCAGGATTGGGCAGCAAGCTCAGGATCATTATTGGCATTTAAAAGGCAACCCCGTCAAAACTGATCCGCAGAAGAAACTTTTCCCCAGGCACGTAAGGAACTCAGGCACTCGATGCATCTCAATGGCTTACCCACAGTGCTTTGCTCTTCCTGTTGACGGGGAAGTTAACAGGGCCACGACATGTCAATGGAGGGGGGCAGTGTAAATGTGATTTGGCGACTTATGAATGTCAACGGTACTTTTGTCACCAAATCTTCCACACGGCCTTGGTGTTGTCCTTTACCCACAGTGCAAATAACTTCATTTTGCTTCTATTCATGCCCCGGGACTGAATAGACTGACTGCCTGGTCAGCTGACAGATGTCAATAACCTGCAAATGCTTATCAGATAGTTGACTAGTCGCTTCCCCCCACTTTGCTGCCTCTATCGGAAAGAGGCAGCAAGGGTGGCGGGGAAGAAGGGGTGCTTCGAAGTGGCAGCGCCGTGTGGAGCCCGGGACCAGATCCTGTGGCGCTGCCGCTTTGAGATGCCATGTGCAGCCCGGAGGCAGCTGGGGACTGCTTGAGTCCTCTGCTGGCCCTGTGCTCCCTGCAGCGCTTTCGCCTTTGAAGATGAGGCTCCCTTTTCAAAGGCAGAGGCTCCCTTTTCGACTAATCGAATAGTTGAAGCAAATTGCATCAACTGTTCGATTAGCCCATTAATCTAAATGTAACATCCCTAAGCAGGCGTTTTGTCATTAGATAACCTCTGGATGAGATTCATCTGCTTTCTGAGGCCAGATCTCCTCATCTTGGCTTAAAATGTTCATCTCAGTGAGGTGTAAGCCATTAGGGATTACTCCCAAGAAAAGGGTAACTGGATGGGTTGTATCTTGAACGGAGGCAGATAACAAGGAACTTTAGACTGAATAGCAGAGAAACTTTCCAGACCGTGAGCTCTGCTGGATCAGTGGGTCTCGGCAGTGACACATAAGCCATTGCTTGAGTTGTTGATGTCCTGGGCAAAACTTAACATGCCTCTGGGATGAAGCAGGTGAGACAGTACGTCTCTTCCATCCATAATGTCTGTCCTGACTCTTTGGCTTTCTCTTGCAGGTATAAAGACGACCTAGACAGTCCTACTGAGGAGAGCGGGAAGCAGAAAGTCCTGTACAGCCTAGAATTCACCTTTGATGCCGATGCCCGTGTGGCTATCACAATCTATTGCCAGGCTACAGAGGAATTCATCAGTGGCATGGCAGTGTAAGTAATAGGAAACCAGAGATTTAAAGGGGCACTGGCAACTTACAGGTCACAAGTCTGTCTGAAATGTCTCTCCTCATACACAGAGAGGCAGAAGAGAGCGAGAGCAAGGTTTCTCCTTTCTAGTTTCTTCCTGTGTATCTTAGTAGTTTCCCCTGTCAGCTGGTTGCGTTAGTTTTCCATGCACAGTAGGGAATAGTAAACGAAAGCCCTATAGCAGTGTTTCTGAAACTTTTTAAGACCAAGGAACACCAAACAATATTTTTTTTTAATGGGGAGCACCAAGGATTTTGTTGGGGGGAGGGAGGGAGAAGGGTCGGGGAGGAGAGAAGGGTCGGGGGGGGGGGGAAGTTATTGAGCAAAAAAGTCACCTGCCCCTTTAAAGTTGGCCATTTTTAATTCTGTTGTTCTCCGCGGCACACCTCCGACTGCCTCGTGGCACACTGGTGTGTCGCAGAACACAGTTTCAGAAACACTGCCTTACAGTTTGTCAGGGAGATGCGAAGTGTAGCTCCTGAAGGTGTAACCTCATATTTTGTGATGGACTAGATTTCAAGGGGATGTCCCTTCTCATTGGGACATGGAGGTCATTGAAGTTGGTGCAGTGAAAACGAGTGCCAGTTAAGGGTTGTGAGCTGGAAAAATGTACAAGGCATTGAGCTGTCAACCCCAGTGGCGGCGGGGAATTTGTCAGGGAGATGCGAAGTGTAGCTCCTGAAGGTGTAACCTCATATTTTGTGATGGACTAGATTTCAAGGGGATGTCCCTTCTCATTGGGACATGGAGGTCATTGAAGTTGGTGCAGTGAAAACGAGTGCCAGTTAAGGGTTGTGAGCTGGAAAAATGTACAAGGCATTGAGCTGTCAACCCCAGTGGCGGCGGGGAAAGTGACCACCTTATAAAATTAATCCTGGGCTCTGCTGTGTTTTAGGCAGTAATGCTGTTGTGTGTTTCCAGCTGGCGCACGCTCCCACAGTTGGCTGTTTGGGGTGGCGTGGGGGGAGAGTGGCCAATGGAATTTTAGTGTGGCTTGTCTCGTCCGTATAATAGAGCTGTGGAGACTCCAAGTCCCAGAATGCAGTGCTGAATCGAAATCTGTCTAGGCTGTGTCTGATCAAGGCGGAGTTTTAGATTTTGACGTGTGTTAGTCTCCAGGGACACACTTCATGTTTAAAGACCTCCGCTGCCTGTAATTTTCTTCCTTCTCATGCAATTTAAGTACATACTCAGGGGTCTGGTGACTTGCTGCTGAAGTGCCCCGGATGGCATTCGTTTTAGGACCCCTCTGTTTAAATAGCTCAGGATCTTTTGTTGCAAACTGAAATCTGCAGGCTAGAGAAGCTTCATGTAGATCCCTGACTGATGTCTGACATGCCTCTGCAGTTAGCATTCAGGGCTTCTTCAATTGTGTTCTGCAGCCTCCTGGGTTTCAGAGGAAACTTGTGTAATGTCAGATAAGTGATCTACTGATGTTTAAAGAAAAAAAAAAACCCAAACAGAATTCATGTTCAAAGACTTGCTTATGCTTTAGGCACAGTATAAACATCCTGCTCATGATCAATGAGCGTTATTTTTAGAAATGGGGCCAAAGGCTGCATGTTCCTATCCAGATGTGAATTCCTCCGCCCTTGGAGGGTGGCCAGAGTTGGGATTTTGGTCCAGACTCTCTCTAGTTTTGTCGAAGCCTGCAGCTGTCTTCACTCTTTGTGCAAAGTAATAAATTAGCTCCTGTTAGAGAGCTGTGGCACCTCTGGGGAAGCTTTGAAAACCCATCTCTTCAGCCCCAGTTTCTCCTGAGCAGGGCAGGATATAGGCAGACTCCTCGAAATCCTGGCTAGTCTGTGACTATAGGGCTAGCAAAGATCTTGGCTCGACAGGCTGGGTGCTTGAAGTCCTGTGTCACTAAGACTGGTGCAGCAGGGCCAGCTTCCCTCAAAGTCCTGCACAGCTAGGTTCTGTTCCTGCCTCTCACGGACCCTTGGGCAAATCAGCCGTGCCTCAGTTTCCCCATCCCTACAAGGACAATAATGAGGGCCTGCGAGAGGTGGTAGTGGTTATTTCTGGTTGCACCAGAAGCTGGTGGACTCCTCCGAAGCCAAGATCCTGACGTCCTGCGGATGTGATAGAGAGCAGGGATCTGGAGAAGAGAGCTGCAAATATCGACTTTATGAACGGCTTTAATTGAACCCAAGATGTTTTCCCATGCGATGGTGGCGGCGGCTCTGTAAGCACGTGTTGGGGCTAGTGCAGCTGCCTAAAGTGGGTGTTTCTGCTTCTGTGGATTTAGCACACTGCTACTAAAAACCTTCTTTTGAAGCCCTGAGTTTAGCTTTGCCAAGCAGTTCTGTAAGGGCAAACCCTGTAATTATTTTGATTTATTCTCTTCGAGTTCTGGCGGATACAACCCAAATCTCGGCTGCATTTTTATGACACCTCAAAGTGGAGAGCTGCATTTTAGGGCAGTAGCTGGAGGGTACGATCACTGAGGATACTTTATCCCCATTGCTTTGGGTGCTACCATCTAAACTGAAGGGCCAGTGTGGGCAGCTGTTCTGTGTTTTAGACTCAGCCCCTGCTTCAGACCAATATGCCCAACACTTTTAGAACAGCTACCATATGAAGAGAGATGAAAAAGACTGGGGCTTTTCAGCTTAGAAAAGAGGAGACTAGTGGGGGGGGGGATGTGATAGAGGTCTATAAAATCACAACTGGCATGGAGAAAGTAAATAAGGAAAAGTTATTTACTTGTTCCCATAACATAAGAACTAGGGGGTCACGAAATCAATAGGTAGCAAGTTTGAAACAAACAAACGTAAGTATTTCTTCAGTCAGTGCACAGTCAACCTGTGGAACTCCTTGCCAGAGGATGCTGTGAAGACCAGGTCTTTAACAGGGTTAAAAAAGGAACTAGATAGATTCATGGAGGATAGGTCATTCCATGCTTAATAGCCAGGACGGGCAGGAATAGTGTCCCTAGCCTCTGTCAGAAGCTGGGAATGGGTGACAGGATGGATCACTTGGTGATTCCCTGTTCTGTTCATTCCCTCTGGGGCACCTGGCATTGGCCATGGTCAGAAGACAGAACACTGGGCTACATGGACCTTTGGTCTGACCCATTTTTATGTAGTTCAGGGGAGAGCAAGATCTTTGAAAACCAGTCACTTTCTCCTTGTAAGTGGATGTCGATCTCTGAAACGGGGAGGCTTCCTCGGAGGTGGGTGGACGAGCGATGCCTCTTCCTCGGAGGAAGGCGAGTGATGCTAGCGCACGATGTGGCAACCTGTCGCCTGGTCAGGCGTGGCCAAGAAATGGGAACGGGATCAAACCCCAAACACTGACACCCTGTCCTGCAAGGGTCTTGCCTGCCTCTGACAGAGACCTGGAGGGTCTGGCTTTTCATACTCAGCTGATTACAACACTTGTCTAGCTTATTCTTCCCATAAAATCTCACTGAAGCGATGCCTATGCCTGATGCGGGACGCTGACATCCGAAAGGGAAAGGTGACCGCAGATCCCTTTCCGAAGGGAAAGGAGACAGTGCAGGTGGGGGAAGGGGTGTCAGATCCATGCCCACTCTTGGGGCTCAGAACACCAGCAAAGCACTATTGCCTCTCCCATCTCTTGCCTCTCGCAGCATGAAAATCCACGAGTGCCCAGGCCACAGTGCAAGTGGCCTACAATGAGGTTTACAAGTGGAGCTGAAGTTCCAAATCCAAAGGGGGCAGCCCCACACTCGGACGTTGTCTTTGGAGGTGCTCCTTGTAGCCGCAGGTGGCCTGGGGGCAGTACGGGGAGGCTTTGGAAGCAGGATCATTCTAAGTGTGGGACTGGTGCGGAATGCTAACTTGGCTGGCAGTCGATGCGGAGGTACCTGTGCCCATCGATAAAACGTCTTCCTAGCTGCGATATTGAGAACGGCCGGCCTTCTCTAGCAGGTCTCGTCTGAGGTGCTCCAAATGCTGTGCAAGCAACAAGGGCAAACGGTCGCATGGCTGGGGTCGCCCGTCTCCTCCTCTATCTCGTCTTAAGAGTTGGCTGGCAATTAACTCTGGGGATGGGGTCTGGAATTCGAAGCATTTGTTTCATTTCCAGAGCTGCTCCCAGGAGGCTGTGACCTTGGGCAAACCTCCTTTCCTTCTGTGTGCGTCAATTTCCTCATCGGCCTGATGGGGCGGTTAACACTTAGCTGCCAGTGGAGTTGATTCTTTGACATTGTTGATGGAAAGGATCAGGCAGGGACACCGTGTGCTCGCTGTAGCTGACTTGACTCTGGTAAGTAAAACCACACTCACCTGCGTACCCTATAATTTATACACAAAGAATCTGTCACTTCCCACCTCCCCACTGCACTTTAATAACAGAGGTGGCAGTGAGATCTCCCATTAGGGGCGCTGTTATTTTTATGCTGTACTGTTCCGAGTGTTTTTCTATCACATTGTGAAGTATTGTCATAAATCGTTACAATGAAACTACTCCAGCAAGAAGAAACAAAGCACATTTGAATGCAGTGCCCCGGCTTGTTTTTTTATTTGCACACTCAGTCTTGCACACGCACATACACGACTGGCTTTACTGGCTGCCTGATCAGCCTGGCAAAATTCTCCTAGCTGGGGTTAGCGTCTGGTAATGGATTGCCAGTGGAACAACGCCAGCGCGCCCACTTGCCTGGGGCATGTAATTTTGGGCTTGGGCCAGGTGGGTAAGCCATCGTCAGTTTGTTCTTCCCCAGGCGTTTATGCTGTGCTCACCCCCAGGAGAGCAGAGGCCAAACTTCCCAACCGGGGAGGCCCAAAACAGAAGTGATTTCTTCATCAAGCTTACTGCTCCCACTGGCAGGAGCAGGCTGTGTAGGTGCTTGGCTTCTCTGACAATCAGGCGCCTAAGTCCAAAGGACCTGACTGCGGAGATAGGAGCCTAACTTTAGACCCCCAGGTTTGAAAGTATAGGCCTGACTGAGGGTAAGGGCAGATGAGCAGATACTGTCCCTGGGGGGGTGCCCTTTAATGGTAGGTGTGCCGTGGCTAGCTTAGGATTGGTCACGTGTCAGAACAGCATGAACCCTCGTGGGTGCTCAGTGGGTGAGCGGTGTAGTTGTCCTGCTGTGGACTCGGGGGAGAACATCCCCTCCTTTGTACACCCCCCCCCAACATTGGAACCGAATGGTTAGCTAGCGAAAATTGCATCGAAGGAGCAGCCAACGGTACCACGCAGCCATGGCAACGCAGGCATTGCTATGGCGATCCGGGAAGCTTTCTGCTCTGAAGGCGAGACAGAAAGCATGAGGCAGGTGACTGCTGTTGTGTAAATATGTGGGGGATGCGTCATGCTCCTGGCTGGAGCAGAGGCAGGGCGCCTGGTTCCACAGGAGCTGGGGGTGGCTGTCGTGTTCTCCGGAGCCTTGTCATCCCTTTCCAGCATGCTGGGCATTCAGTACCTGGGCCACATGTCGGGGGGTGGCGCTGTCAGCTAAACCAACGAGGAGTCCTGTGGCACCGGAAGGACTAACAGATCGATTAGGGTACAAGCTTTCATGGGCTTCATATGAAGTGGAAGCTTCAGTGTGGCTGGAATTGATATCCACATGTGCACGTTACTGTGTGGAAGCTCAGAGCCAATGAGGGTAATTCAGCCAGGGTGGATGTGACCCACTTCCAACAGCGGTTACGGTGAGAGGACCTGAAGGGGAACTGCCGTACTGCAGTGAGCGAGCCATTCCCAGGCCCTATTCAGACCCCTTCTGGCAGTGTCAAGTAGCGTACAAATTCCAGCTCTGCCATTTCACGCCGCCGCCTGGGCCTGATGGTGTGTTACTCTAGCAAGGCGGCTTTGGAAGCCGTTCCTGGGTGTCCGACGGGCTCTCCTCCGGGTTGTTGGATGTTCCCGTTCTTGATGCCCGACTTGTGCCCCTTTATTCGTTGGTGCAGAGACAGTCGGAAGATCGCCGTGTGGAGTAGCGTACAAATTCCAGCTCTGCCATTTCACGCCGCCGCCTGGGCCTGATGGTGTGTTACTCTAGCAAGGCGGCTTTGGAAGCCGTTCCTGGGTGTCCGACGGGCTCTCCTCCGGGTTGTTGGATGTTCCCGTTCTTGATGCCCGACTTGTGCCCCTTTATTCGTTGGTGCAGAGACAGTCGGAAGATCGCCGTGTGGAACACGCAAGCGTGCTGCCCAGCCACGGCTGGCCCGTTCGTTCCTGACTGGCTGTGAGTGCCACGTCTGTATCGCAGAATGGCCGAGCCATACCCACCACACACCTCTGTCCTGTCGTCCACCTTCGCCTCAGGCGCGCTCCTCCCCTCCTCACTTCCCTTGCTAGGTCTCTCCTTCCCCTGCGCTCGGAACAGGCCCAGCCGCTCTTTCAAACCACGGCCTTTCAGAGCTGCTGCCGCTCCTCTCCCCAGGCCACCGGTGGGATGGGGGCAAAGAGGACAGTTTCCCCAGTGAGTCAGGGCCAGGGCCAGCGGTGGCACCTGGATCCCGGGCCCTTTAGAATCGCTGCCAGAGCGCTCTGTATAGTTTTGAGGGCCGAGGGAGTGGTCCGGGCGGCGCTGAGGGCTGGCCGTCCCCAGCCCTGCCCCTTCTGCACAAGGCTCCGCCCCTTCCGGGAGCATAGAGTGGGGGGCCCCCTCCTGCATTGTCCCAGGGCCTGACAATCCTGTCAGCCCTGCTGCCTCTCTTACAATGTTTTTGTGCCAAGCACTGGCAAAGCGAGTTTCCCCCTCCAGCGGCTAGTCTATACAGTGAATAACAGCCTGTTCCTGGGCCAGCTAACGGTCTGCACACACAGGTCTGTGCTCTCGGGCCTGGCTTTGAACTCTAACCCCCCCAAAGATGGTTGTTTCTGCGTTAGCTTGTGCCAGGGACGTTTGCTTCCTCTGTGGCTTGTAAGACCTCCCTGCACCCTAGACGTGGTAAATAGTGGCACCAGGTGGAAATGATTTCTCACCTGGGTTAAGGGAGAGACCCCAGCTGGTGACAAGTGTCAAAGGCCTGGAGGGTGCAGCTGGCCCTACCGCTCCAGGTGATGCCTTGGTTTCAGAATAAGGTCCTATGCAATAGAAGCGCCTTAGGTGCTACCGTAGGTAGGGCCAGCACCCCTGGGCCTGATATCGGTGCAGCTGGTGGGGGGCTCTTGAGCTATTGGAGTCATACTGCCTGCAGAGCAAGGATGCGTGTCTCTCCCCGCAAGAGAACGGGGCACGTGGCTTGGAGACACGGGGGCAAGAAGGAGGGTGTCCAACGTAGTCCCTGCTGCTTGGCCCACGTGCTGGTCCGATGCCGAGCTGCCTTGGCAGCCGCTAGCAGGTGCTAAACGCCATCCCTTAGGTGGGGCCCCGGTGTCCTGTCCACACGTGAGGAGCGATTGATCACGGTTAGATCACCGTGCAGGCTCTCCGCTGTGCATGTGAAGGGGCCCAGGCTTCTGCCTCCCAACCAAAGACCCGAGCCTGCTAAACAATGTGCCAGCAGTGCCAGTGCTCCCGCTCTATGGGGTCTGCCTGGGCTCAATAGGGGGCCCCTTGTCTGCAGTGCTGTGGGCTGCCCCATTCGCCAACATCCCCAGCCAGGCCACCGTGGAACTGGTCAGCTGGAACTCCGACCAGGGCTGCCTACCTGCGCTGTCTCCCTCTCCTGAGCTCCCTTCCCCTCCTCCCCCCTTTGTGTGTGCAGAGCGAATGGCTGCCAGCCCCGGCCAGCTTCGCTTCTCAGAGCAGCCCCTTGCGATTCCAGGCAGGCATGCCTTGCCTCCCATCAGCACAGAGCGATCACTTGTTACCCTGAGTCTTCTTTTTCACCCCCTCTCCAGATACAGCACAAAGAATCCTTCTCTCCAGTCGGAGACGGTCCATTACAAGAGAGGGGTGAGCCAGCAATTCTCCCTGCCTTCCTTCAAGATTGATTTCTCAGACTGGAAAGACGATGAGGTAACGCTCTCCTTGGATTTCCCTCGTCTCCAAAACCCTATTGTTCTTGAAACACTGGGCTCTGTTTAACTTCCTGAGGGTAGCTGGAAAATGACCAGTCCCAGCTGCCATGGCATAATCAGTCAGCGTGGGGTGAAGGGCCCTGGGAAAAATTGTCCTGAAACATGCAGGACAACTGTTGGGGAGGTGCGTTAAGCAAAACATAACGGGCCTGCCTGACAGGATCTTAGCGACGTGGAGCAGACCGAGACTCATTTCCAGCTCTGGGTGCATGACGCTGGGCCCACTGCAAAGGAAGCTGCTTGTTTTGTAGCCAGTCTTCATGCTCTCCCAGGTTATCAGGACACTGGGGGCGCACAGGGACGTAAATCCCCTTTAGAGAGGCATTTATGGCCTCGTAACCTGTCTGGTTACACAGAGCCTACGGAAAAGTGGGTGTCCACTTTCCATAGCAAACCTATTAAACCACACGATTGGCATGCACCTGTCTTTAAGAGAGCGTTTCCAGTTACAATACTGGCCTTTTCTGTGCCCCATCAAAGGAAGTCAGAATCGGCCATATACGAATGTGGTCGCTTGGAAAATAAATGCTCATCTTCTCTAGAGAAAAGAGCAATTCTGGTTTGCGTGGTGGGCTGTGCATTAGGATTAGTACTCCATTTCTCATGGGGCCCTATTGGGGAATCGGGGTGTTTGTGTGTGGTTTTTTCCCCTAGTCTGTGTGTGTTAGAGTAGTGATGTGGGTGCATATGTCTTCATTGACTCCAAAGCCGTAAGGGACAGCGGGCCACTGCGATCATGTAGTAAAACAAGCCAGAGAACTGCCCCACAGTTGTTCCTATTTACACTAGAGCAGATATTTTACACAAGCATCCCCCAGATCTTGATTTAAAAATTCACTACAGCCCTTTGGACAGACGCTGCCGAGGTCATTGACCCTGTAAAGCATATCTGGGCTCATTCAGGGGTGTCAAAGAACTCATGTTTCCTTTTGACTGAAGCTGTGTTGGTTGGGAAAGTGAGCATTTATGACTAGCCTTCAGGAAGCTTTGCTTGGGATTGAAGGGATAAGAAGATTCTTACGAGGAAATGAAAGAATCCTTGAGAAATGATCTAGAGAAAGGGGTAAATAGTGAGGTGGCAAAATTTGCAGATGATGCCAAACTGCTCAAGAGAGTTAAGCCCAAAGCAGACTGTCTAGAGCTTCAAAAAGATCTCACCAAACTGAGTGATTGGGCAAGAAAATGGCAAATGAAATTTCATGTTGATAAATGTGAAGTAATGCACACTGGAAAAAATAATCCCAACTATATATACAATATGATGGAGACTAATTTAGCTACAAGTACTCTTGAGAGATCTTGGAGTCATTGTGGCTAGTTCTCTGAAACATCCACTCCGTGTGCAGCGGCAGTCAAAAAAGCAAATAGAATGTTAGTCTGGGCTCAGGCGTCCCGGCTTCTCTGCCACTAAACGACCTCCCAAGTACGCCTGCTGCAGCCTCAAAGCCCTGTCCCGCTCCCAGCCCTGCTTTTCGCTCCCTTCATTGCTCGCTCTGCCGAAGCGAGCGGGATGTTAGCAGCCCAGACGCTCCTCAGCCTCTTAGAAAAGCAAATGTGTTCGACTCCTCTGCTACTGGCGTCTTGGACCAGCCAGAGCCACTTATAATTGTGCAAACAGGTTTTTAACTCTTAGCAAAAGTTTTGCAGCTCATCTTTAAACAGCTGTGTGCCCGCAGAGGTGGGGGCGAATGATGTACTGCACGTCTGTGGGGCAAGCCTTCAGAGCCGTTTGGTGCTATAGAAGCGCTATGCTGTAAACCCCCTTCCCATCCCTTCTGCACACCAAATTTTGCTGCTCCACTCTGCTGCTGTGTTGGGTGGGCAGCGGTGTCATCTGGCAGGTCTGCAGCTGGCTTCGTAGTAGGGAGCGCTGCTTGGGAACCAGTGCCGCACCGGCAGCATGGCTCAGAGGGGGATTTCCAGGTGTTCCCTTCTCCTCTTCGTACCCAAGAACATGTGTGGCTGATGTTCCTAACTGCTCCTCTGTCCGTCGTCGGTGCGTTGCTGTGTAGCTGCATATGCTTAAGCCCTGTAGGCTGCTTGCCAGCTTCGCTATTGGTTTGTCAGGAAAAAAAAGGTGGGCGTGCTTTTGCCCAATGTAACACTTGTATGGGACCTAGCCCCGCTTCCAGACAACGGAATGGAAAGCAGTATTGCCTGGGCTGGTTGGTAGGATGAACTTTACGAAGTCCATGTTGTCTTCACGTGTGTTGATTCATTGGCAGACTGTAGGAAGAGGCTTGCAGAGCTGAAAGTGTCTTCTACAGAGTCACGTGGGAACGTGAAGTACCATCTTTGGGGGACAATTCAGACAGTGTGCCGATCCCGATTCCAAAACAACCGTGGTTCTGGGCCGTGCTTTCTCCACTAAATGTGCCAAATGGTATCGCTGCTCTTGCTGAAATAGATTGGAGCAGGAAGCAAAGCAGGAACCTAAGAGCTGCTTTCAGCAACCCCTTAGCCAACGATCAGTAATAAGTTAGGACTGTTTGGCACAGACCATGGTAGTTTGAAAACGTGGTCTGCAAATGGCTAGCGAGAGATGCAGCGTTTCCCTGTGGATGATCTCAGTGTTTTGAAAGTGAGCTGAGGCAGGAAGTGGTAGCAGTCACAAGCCCTTTATTAGCAGCTGCTCTGAGGGGATACACAATAGTGTCGTTATGTAGTTGAGATCTGAAAGTTTTTCTCGGAAGTCTGTAGATAAATATTTCCTGGGACATTTGGCCTCTGCAGTGATTAGACTGAAACTAGCAACAGAAGAGTTGTAGCTTCCCAATTTTCTGTTCTCCCGCAAAATAACTAAGGCCTGGTTTACACTGCAGAGCTAGTGATGCAAGGCAACATACCTGGTTGGGCATGTGTCTGGGCTTAACTTTGTCTCCCACCAATGTAAGTATCCCGGGATGCCAAGAGCGTAACACCACTTCCCTGAGCAGCGTAGAGCCAGGGTTATTGTACTTAGATCAATGCAGCGCGAGTGTAGACATGGTGTTACTTATGTCGACCTTCGCGGTACTCCAGCAGCTGTCCAATACCCCACCCTGGCTGATTGGTCATCATTGTCAACTCCCAGGTGTCCTGGACACCAGAAGCCTCCCCCCTTTCAAAGCCCAGCACGTTTTTGCAATTCCTTTTCCTGATTGCCTATCTTAGCAACTGCACCGTACAGCTTTCCATGGCTGAATACAGCTGCCCAGGCCAGTGACACACTCCTGCCTGATACACTGCGTCTCCTGGGCCTGGGGGCTCAGCCCCGAACCAGCAGCAGAAATCTTGCCAGTGGATTTCCTGACTCCAGATTGAAATTTGGCATTCGTAAGTTTCTGCACTGTGCTTGTCACTTGCTTCTCTGGCACCAGGGCGGCTCTCCTGTTGGTGTCCCTACAATGGAAGGCTGGGACAAGCTCAGCGCTCCGATCCAGTAATGTGGCCTCGCACATCTGAAAGTTCTGCCGCCATTGCAGTCCCACCAGACAGTGCTTGTTTCTCAGGGCCCAAAGCAGCTCTCCACCTCCTGCAGCTGCTCCACAAATGCCACCAACAAACTCGACTTGGTTCTTGCCGTGGCCCACGCAGATCTGCTGTCCAGGGTCCTTCAGTAGTTCTTGCATCTCTACAAACTCTGCAGGATCTGGCGTCCTTTGCGGTGCCTGTGACAATAGTGCAGGTGCCATGCTTCTGACCGGAGTAGTGGACAGCAACGAGGGCCGTGTGGACTTGTGGAATTTCAAAAAAAGGTGCAAAAATGTTGGGATACGGATAAGGTTCTAGAATGGAGACAGCTGCCAACTGGGAAGTTGACCCCGGGCTCCCAGTCGCTCCTGTGCTGCTTGTCTTGACCCCCTCGTGCATTGCCGAGACTTCCCAAAATACAGTGTGCTAGATGGTGGTGAGTTGGACAGTGAGATGTCTACCCAGGGTGCACCACACTCTGCGTCGGTACAAGTATCTTGCCGTGTACGCCCATTGCCACCACAAGGGTACAAGTATGCACACGCACGAGCAATGTACCAACTACAGTGCCTCTGTGCATTTGTAGTGGAAATTTGGAGTAAGGCCAAGTCTGTATTGGAAAAGTTGATCCAACTACGTGGCTCAGGAGTGTGAAAACCACCTCATTCAGGGTGTGAGGTTTAAGCCAATCTAACCTGGTGTTGACAGCAGTCAGTTGGTGGAAGAATTCTTCGGTCGACCTAGCATCCACCTCTTGGGAAGGTGGATTAACTACAGTGAGGGCTAATGATTCTGCCAGCATCCCAGATGCATGAAGCCCCAGCAGGCATAATCCTCTTCCCCTCGTTCCCACGTTTGCGATGGACTTGGGGCTTCCGTACGTTCTGTAGCCTGTTGCAGATGTTAAATTGGAGGTTTGTAACCACTAGCTCAAAGTGCCGGTTGGCTCATTTGTTTCCGTATTTAAATGAACCTCCTATCTTTAACGGCCTTGACGCTGATACAAATATCCCACAGTGCTGCGGATAGGTAGTGACTTCATTGCAGGATAAAGTATCTGAGCAGGGGAACCAGACAGCAAGTGTGTGAAATCGGGACCGGTTCAGGGATAACAGGCACCTGTATAAAACACAGCTCCAGATATTGGGACTGTCTCTATAAAATCGGGACATCTGGTCCCCCTAGACCTGAGGAAGGAGAAGCCGATAGTTGTTAGGAAGGCCTGGGGCGGGGAGTCTGTACCTCAAGGTCCTCATAAGGTCCTTGCCTCAATGTCATGTGCTGCACTGCAGGGCGGCTACTGGTAGGTCTAACTTTAGTACCAGGTTTGGACAGGCCACAGAGCTTTCAGCATGGGGAGAGAAGATGTAATCTCCTTGGCTATGTCTAGACTGCAGGCTTCTTTCGAAAGAGGCTCTTTCGAAAGCGTCTTTTGAAAGAGCCTCTTTCGAAAGATCGCGTCTAGACTGCAGGCGGATCTTTCGA